CTGACATGAGGGAAGGTGGTTCGTTTGAGATCGGTAGCATCACGAGCTGAATCCAGATGCAAGCATTCTAGCAGCGGAACGACGGTCGGGCGACGAAAGCTTGGTGGGACGACCTGGCTTGGGCATAACAAAGTACGGATCACCAGTAAGGAGGAGCTTGCGGTGCAATCGGGAGACGGTAGAACGAGAAAGGCCAAGCCTTTTGGCACACTCAGAGTGAGACATGCCAGCATGCTTGTAGTCCAATAGACGCGCTTTACGAGTGGGTGTAGTGTAGTGCATAGAGTAGAATAGAGGTAATACTAAAGCCCAGGGTGCAAAAGGAGGCACAGGTGTCGAAATAATGAGCACTGGGGCAGCCTTTTTAAAGTGTATGTGCTGCGCGCATATGTAATGCAACAGCATGTTTTTTTTAGATCCGTCCGTCTTGTATAATTACTGCACATTTTGCAGTCTTTTTTACATACATATATTCGCAGTATATCACACTTAATTTACATGTAATTTATATGGGCATAAGTGTTGTGTGGAATGACGTGTAGAGGCAAAATGAAAAACACGTGGTGTGTTGCAATACTTTTGACGCGCACTGTAATATAAAATAGGTAATAACAGACATGAGTGTACTTAATAGAACTCAGTGCATTTACTAAAAGTACTACATAAATAATAATTATAATGTTATTAAACAAATATTATACAGAAACAAATGAATTACCATATGTTTTCAACACAAAAACAAAATATTCATTCATAGTTATGAACAATTATTAATAAAAGATAACAAGCACAAACAAAACTTGTATATTATACATAATGTGTACTTATCTACTATAACAAACAAAATACACATTATATAAGTTGACAAACATTAACAGTAACAAAAATATAATAGTAATAACATTTAAATTACTCATTATAGAACATAACAAATGTTACACACTACTTTAAAATACTAATAATTAGAAATTGAACCACAAAAGCAATTACAATTATTATATATAAATATTATATTATAACAACAATTAATAAACATTAAAGAAATATCCAATTCTTTGAAGAAATACCTTCTTGAATTGAAGGGGAGAAAATGGATAATATGCACAAACAATTAATAACTAAATATAAACAACAGAACAGAAAGTATAATACTACAGACACTATGAAAAATAGAATAACAAAATTCATAGACTAAGCACTAACTAAGTAATAGAAGTTATGGACAGACATAACAAATCATAAAGGTAAATCATTTGGTACAAAGCAAAACTATGTTGATTGGAACTAAATAATGGAAGTCAACACAATGTACAATTGAACTTCAACATTAAATAAATAATAATTCTACTACAAAACAAATGCTCATACTTGGCAAATAATATTAATATAATAATATAATTAACTTAACAGTGTTTAATACAAAAATAAATAATATACAGACAATTATCATATCATATAATGAAATAATTCATTAATTCAGACTATAGTTCATGGATAAAAGTGATGAATAACGAAAATAATACTTTGGAACATACATAAAACAATAAATAATATATCTATATGATAATACAAATATAATTGCAATATAATTTGTAACTACAACTGAACAATACATAGATAATAACTATATAAACAAGTATGGAGCACATACATATAATTAAATAAAACTATTAAATAAATTCTTGTACAAATGATTAATTTGCCCTCACTACATGATTAATACAAGTGTGAACAGTATTATAATACTATGAAATACATTGGATAGATACTAATAAGTACATCTATACAATGATTCAAATAAAATAAATAAAACCAATATATAAAACGTTTTACCTAGCAAACCAATTAACAAATAAAACGTTGAACAAATACTACAATTGTACAAAGCACTAGATTAACTAAAGAATGCTAGGAAACAATTATAGCAAACATAATCTGATATATCAATCATATACAGATTGTGTTACAATACATCATTCTTTACAAAAGAAAAAGTAAAGAACAATAGCCATAACATACACATATATATATACAATACTATGATTACAACAATTCACAACAACATTGTTAATGATAAATAATATGAATGTATGATAGAAATGATTTATGATAGATAACTATGTTGACTATTAAAGAAACAACACAACAGATTGTATAGTTACTCAGGATGCATTAGAAACAATCAATTAACAAACATAACATTAATAAATTAATACACAAATATAAACAATAATGTAAAGCAAACGAACAAACAATACATTCATGATATAATACATATATAATGCACCTAGACACATAGTGAGATGCCTGTAGCCAGACATAACATTTATACAACAAATATATGTTAGCATAAAACCTTATTAATCTTAGAATGAAGCAATCTGGCAAAAACAAATATTATTATTAATATTACAATATATGATCAATGTGAAGCTTTAATCTGAAGACATAAATCAGCTATTACTGAATGCTTAACACATATACAAATGTAGACGAATGTAGACAGCAATGATTAAAGAAGGATATTATTACAACATTGAATATACATTTTACTAGTGTGATTCATTAGTTTCACAGCAAAGTAAAAGGAAATTACTAGAGTACTCAAACAAACTTAATAACAAACAATATGACTGAATAACAAACAATAAAATGAAACAAGCAATTACATTTATGATTTAAATATGCACATATATGTACCTATGCATGCTAACAAGATTCTACAGGTCTCTGAAGCATTTACAAATTATTTAATAACATTTACAAACAATCTATTGTAATAACAATACTGTTATTGAACAATATATTACAAATGAACAAACTAATTAAATATACTTAAACAATATAACATTGGACGAACTTAACACAAAGTGGATGACATTCGGAACAGACAGTACACAGAACAAACAATGCATTACTACAATGCTAATAATATTATTATTAACTACATTAAGTTATAAATGCATTACACAAACGAACAATTGTACAATGCAGTTATAATGATTAAACTATCTATACATACTACAAGCAAACATCTTACAAGTCTACTAGACCTAGTAAGAGTTTGAAGGAGAGTGTTAAGATGAGACTACACAAGAGTATGTCTCAGATGATATAAACTACATTACAAGCAATGATGAACAATGATGGAATACCTTCCATCATACATTCTACATCTGAGACATACCTACATAGTATATATAGACTAACTAATCAACAGATGATGAAGCAAGCTGCGAGAGAGCAAGCCGAGTCCACTATCCCCCCTCTTTGTGTGATCCCTCTAAGCCTCTCACATAACCTCTCTTTCCCCTTTCTTAACATGTCTCCTCTTGGATCTCTTCCAAAATCAATGCTTTATGTGTGTATCGCTTCTTTCCAATTAGAAGCTTCATTAAAGCAAGTGAACTAGATCTAAAGAGTCAGCTCAATCCAGACGAGATGGATGTGTATCACAGGTCTCAATGTCTTCCCGGAACACGTACGAGAATTCAGAATGAGATCGTTGAATGGGCGTCATCGGGCTCGGATCAGAACGTCTTCTGGTTACATGGCGTTGCAGGCTGTGGCAAGAGTACAGTCAGTACGACGATTGCAGAGTTCTTTCGTACCATGACTCGTCTCGGCGCCCTTCTTTTCTTTGAACGTGGCAAGAGCGATCCTAGCTCTGTCATCCGCACTCTTGCGTATAAACTCGCCTTGTTTGATTTCTTGGTGGCCAAATACGTTGGTATGGCCGTCGAACAGGATAAAGAGATTGCTCAGGCTACACCTACAGTTCAATTTGAGGGTCTTCTTCAAGGGCCTCTGGCTTTGGCTTCAGATTCGATACAGGCCCCGTCATCATTGTCCTTGATGCGTTGGACGAATGTGGCTCGGAGGCGACAAGGCGAACGCTGCTGGAGTGCCTTCGAAAAGGCCTTCCTTCACTACCCAAGCGATTTCGATTCCTTATTACGAGCAGGAAGGAACTGGATATTAGCCGTGTCTTATCTTCTCTGCCTAACTGCATTGTTCCTGTTGAGTTGGAACATGACTCGCCAATATGCAAGGACGACTTGCTTCGCTACATTGATCACGAGATGCGCAACGTATTCGTGAAAAACGAGCTGTGCATTTCGGGTGATTGGCAAGTGAAGATGGATCGTCTCGGAAGTGCGGCGGGTGGACTTTTCATCTGGGCATCGACAGCGGTGAAATTGGTGGATTGTGACGACCCAGCTGGGAAGCTGAATGAATTGACATCAAAATTGCAAAACTTGGCCGGCCTCGAGCAACTGTACGACTCCGTTCTTAGAGGATCTGGCATCTCGTTCGGCGACAAAGCAACCAAGGCTCGCTTTTCGCAGATCCTTGGTTTCATTCTCCTTGGTAGACAACCGTTGACCACTGATGCGATCGACAAGTTTCTTGGGTATTCAAATGACAGACCGTCACGTCTTATTCTTTCTCGCCTACAGTCCGTGCTTGTGTACACTCCTGGAGCTCCTGTCTGCTTTTGCCATTAGTGCTCCGTGCGTAGCGTATAC